GGATTGATTCAGTGACTGGGGTAATCAGGATAGGTGTGTCAGAGGCGGTGCGATTGGCACAGGATAGAGCAGGGTTTACGGCTGTTGTACATAGGGTCGCTATGAGTTGCAAACGACTCGATGGCACATAACAACAACAACATATCATTACCAGTGCTCTATGCCTATTCCTCTTCTTTTAGAGTTCCAACCCTTCACACCCCCCACCAACCCCAGATCGCAGTGATTTCTCCCCTCCCCTTTGGACCTGTCACTCCCGCCCTAGCCTAGAACAGGGTCCTGGTGGTGCCCTCTGCAGCCCTATACTCTAGGACAAGCGTCCTGAAGAAGGCATACACAGGGTAACCTGTGCTCTCTCCCTCTCCTGGCATTGGCTCCCCCTGGGAGTAACTGCCCTTTAGACCTCACCCTCTCCCCTTAACTCTCTGGGGGTACAAAGGGGAGGGGAGGGGTGCACTCACCCCCGCTGGCAACACGCTCGGCCTGGCACTGGCTGTCTGACACACAGCTGTACTTCTCCTCGCTCTGCAAGGAGACAGGAAGGCAGGGGTGAAATATCCCACACGGGCCAGGCGTGGGAGTAGGGGTGAGGGTGGGAAAGGGGGCCCTCAGCTTCTACTGATAGGAGGGCAGGGGGTGAAAGACCTCCGTGCAGGCCAGGGGTGGGTGTGAAGAAGGAGACCCCAACTCCCATTGTCAGGAGGTCTGGGGCTGAAAGACGCCCTTCCCTCGGGCCAGATGTTGAGGTGGAGGTGAGGGTGGGGGTGTGGCTGGCAGAAGGGGCCCTCACTCTAACAGAAGAGCAGGGCGTAAAAGACCCTTCCAGGGCTAGGGTGGGGGTGGGGTGAGAGTGGGGAAAGGGCCCTTGGCTCCCATTTGGCTGACAAAAGAGGGCAGAGGCCCAGGGTCACTACATCCCACTCCCATCCAAGCCTCTTCCTGACTCTTCTCCCCCCTTCCCCCATGTCTTCTGGCCTCGCTTCATCCAAACCCCGCCCCCTTACCTCTGGGCAGACTCCTTGCATTTGGTTTTCAGTCACTATCATCTTGGTGATGATGACAAAGACAGAGCTGCCCTTGGGAGAGGATAAGACACAACAGTCCCCATTAGCGAGGCAGCCTCTGCTGTTATCTCCACGCTACAGATGGAGAAACATGGTCAGGGTCACAGGACAGCACACAACCCCTCTCCCGTGCTTAGGGAGCTGTGTGTGGTGACAGCAGAGCCTGGCAGGGCCCTGGGAGGAGCTGCTTTCTTACTCCCCATACAGCTCTGCAGAGGGCAGCTCTAACTCCCTCATTTCTCCCTGAGGCAGAAAGTCAGGGGACCTACCTGGGGTGGGGTCACAAAATCAGACACATCCATGATTTTGTTGGCATAGCGTCCGAAGCCTTTCACCTTGGTGACCACAGAGGACTCGATGGCTGTTTCCCGGACCTGGTATGCCTTCTCGTGCAGGAAAACCCACCTGGGGCAAGAAAACGGGGTGTGGATAGGAAAAGAGAGTCAGAGGCCCCGCAGACACAGGCCACCACGGCAGGGAGACTGAGCCTGCCCTCAGGTGTGCTGGGGAGGAGGAGAGTTCTGGAAGGAGGCGCTGCCCCTGCACTGAGCTCCAACAGCTTAGAGCCAGGCCTCACCTCTGGCCCCACTGCTCCACCCCTCCATCCCAGAGCCTTCTCAAAATGTTACCTTTCTAACTGCCTCTGGAAACTCTATGAACTTTGATAAATGTCAATAGTTGTAGAGGGGCTTCAGGCCTTTTGTTGCTATGAGTCGTGCTCCACTCAAGGCAATCAGCAACACAACCTTTCTAATCACTCTTCCGCCCTTTGAATCCTAAACACCTTAGAGCTGTTTATTCAAGAGCAAACCATTTGTACTCCACAAGCTGTGGTGGCGTAGGGAATCGTGCTGTTAACCCAAAACCAGCACTTCTCTGGAGGTTCCAATCCCCCAGTAACTCCACAAAAGAAAGGTTGGCAATTTCCTCCCATGCAATTGCCAGCCTCTGAAAGGCAGGGAGAGGATCAGCTGTGAGTCAATTCAGCCTTGCTGAGCTGAGTGGAGTTTTTGGCTACAGAGAGCCCTGGTTGGACACTCAGGTGTTAACTGAAGGATTGGCACTTGGATGCCACCAGCGGCTCCCTGGGCAAAAGACGGGCCAGTCTGCAGCCTTCAAGACTACAGCTTGGAGACTCGAGAGGCCAGTTCTAGTCTGTTCTAGGGTTGATGTGAATCTGAATTGATTGGAGAGCCACTCAGAGACCATGGAAGAAAGGCCTGGAGATCAGCTTCTGTAAAGATCACAGCAAGAAACCCGTGTGGACACTATCCTGTAGCGTATGGGGGCAGCAGGGGTCAGAATTGACTCCAGGGCCACGTTCTTTTCTATATGCGTGTTTGTGCTTGATACATAAAACAAGAACGAGATAAAGTTTACCTCCTAAGAGCCAGTTTTCATTCTCTTAGGCCCAACAGGGATCCCTGAGCAATGCGAACAGCTAATATGCTTGCCTGTTAACCAAAACACTGGAGGTTATGGCCCAGCCAGAGGAGATTTGGAAGAAAGGCCTGAAGGACTGCTTTTTAAAAAGCCAGCCACTGGAACTCCTGTGCAACACAGCTCTACACCAGCACACGCAAGGCTGCTGTGAATTGGAAGAAACTCTAAGATAAGTGTGGTATAGGGTGGGCAAGCGCCTTCCGTGTGCTTAAACTGCCTCTGAAAATACACGCGAGGGTCAGCTGTGGGTCAGGTCTGACTTGAAGGCACGCAACCACAACCTCCAGTAAGTGGTTGTTTTTATTTTAGGAGTGGTATCACTCCTGTGAGCTCTGGTGGCCTAGTGGTAAGAAGCTGTGTGGCAACGCCAAAGGCACATGGTTCAAATCTGCCAGCTGCTCTTTGTAAGACGGCTAGACCATCTCCTCTCGTGCGATTAATGGCCTCTGAAAACGCTGTGGAGGGTCAGCCATGGGTCGATTCCAACTTGGTGGTACACAACAACAATAACAACATCGTCACCCCTGATGGGATCCTGATAGCTTGGTGGTAAGGAGTTGTCCCCCTCGCCAACCCAAAGGAACACAGTTCAAAGCCACCAGCTGCTCCACCAGATTTACTGATTTACTGCCTCTATAAACCTGCTGGAGGGTCAGCTATGAGTTGCTTCTGGCTAGATGGCACACAACAACCACCACAATATGTCAAGACTCAGCTGCTCCTTGTCGACAATGAGGCTTGCTGTCTTTCTCTCCTCCCTCCTCCCTCCTCTCTCCTCTCTCTCTACCCAGGAGAGAGAAGGGTCAGGGGACTTTAGATTTCCATCTCTCTTCTGGTCCGGGCTTAGTCCACAGCTGATCCTAACTGACTGACACACATTGTAAGGGTCTAGTAAACACAGGACTGGATCCGTGAAGGCTTCTGGCCCCTGAGAGGCTGGGAGTCTTCAACCCTTCAAGCATCTGATGAGGACGAAGGTAGCAGCAGCTGGTCCTCCCAGGACAGGTAAATGGAATTGTGCTGAACGAGGTGCCGGGGTGGGGTGTGGAAAAGCCTGCGCCACCACTTTATTCCTTGCACTATGCTGCCACCTAGTGGATATTTACCTGTACTGACGCCACAATTTGAAGCCATTATGGGATGCTGTGAAGGAGCCCAAAGGAGTACGTTGCAGGCTGACCTGCTTACCAACCAAAGGGTCAACGGTTTGAATCCACTAGTTGCTCCGTGGGGGAAAGGTAAGGCCGCCTCCTATAAATATCTTCAGCGTTGGCGAGTCACTTGGGGGTCACTATGGGGCAGACTCACTTGATGGCAATGGGTGTTTTGTTTAGGGTACACGAGGCAACACCCTCTTCGCTTCTCCCATATTCACCTTCCTTCCATCTCCACTTTCCCAATCTCAAGTAAGCAAAAGTAAGAAAAGTAAGCACGGGCTAACTGGTCCTTCCAACACAGAGCGATGAATTTCATATACTTTGATCACATCAAAGATTCTGCTCCTTGAGATGGCTTGTGTCTGTCTTGTTCAATCCCATAGCACCTTCCTACAGAATCAAAGCTCCTTTTCCTATTTCCAATTCCTGATAGGGACGGAGTATCCAGCAGGCAAGGTGAGCACTGGCTTATTAGTGTTTACCAATCTACACCTCAACGTCTTAGAAAACAAAAGTCCTCACCATTGGAGCAATAGACAACATCATGCCAGATGGAGAGAAGATTAGTAAGGTTGTCAAGGATTTCATTTTACTTGAATCCATAAGCAAAACCCATTGAAGCATCAGTCTTGAAATAAAAAAAAAAATGTTGCATTGGGAAAATTTGCTCCAAAAGACTGCCTTTAAAAATACCACAGAGCAGGATGTTAGTTTAAAGACTAAGGTGTCCCTGGCTTAAGCCAGGGTGTTTTCCATTGTTTTGTGTGCACATTGTTGTTGTCATTGTGGTGTACCATCTAACTGGAACCAACATACAGCTGACCCTCTAGTGGGTTTTCAGAGGCAGCAAATCACACAGGAGGAGCAGCTGTGGATTTGAACCAGGTCACTTTGGATTTGCAGAGCAACTCCTTATCACTTAATCACCAGAGCTCCCTATATAAATGTTGGAAAATAAGTGAGGACAATCAGAGAAGAACTTAGGCCGTTGGATTGTGGTGTTAGTGAAGACTATTGAAGAATAACCATGAGATGCCAAATCCATCTCTTTTGGAAAATGTGCAAATTATATGCTCTTTAGAGGGAAGGGTCATGAAACATCATCTCACGTATCTCCGACTGTTTTCAGAAGGGACCAGCCCTTAGAAAAAGACTGGAAAATAAGAGGTTCTGTGAACGAGGCCAAGAGCCTCCAGGAGACAGGTTGACACAGGGCCAGCAACAGTGGGCAGGAGTGTGGCCAAGACGGTGAGGATGGCACGAGGGTAGGTGAGGTTTCGAGCCGTTCAGAGGGTCGCCGTGCATGGTCATTAACTGGACAGCACCTCACGGGACCAGTGCACAGTGAGCAGCTGCGGCTCGCTGGGGCCCGCGGGCTGTTCGCTGCAGGTTAGAGATTAAACGCAGGGAAGCCTGTACCCACCTTGCTTATCAGGAAATCAGTCTATGAGCAGCATCGGCACCAGCATCGCACCCCCGTGGAGAGGACGCCGACTGACTTCCCTGCATTTCTGTGAGGTGCCTACCTTTTTCGTTTAAAATTGCCGATCACAACCCTCACGGCTCCACCACTCTCTGCCTCACTTGTTATCATTTATTCAGCAGCAGTTCCAGTCAGGAGTAGCTCCCTATCCAAGATTGCATTCTTCTGTCAGCACGCTCGGCGGTGCATAAGATGGATGTGGTGTTGGTCGGCCAGACTAATGGAGACCCCCGTGCACAGTGGAGCGGACACAGTGATGGGGTGGGGTGGGGCAGGGTGGGGGGATTGTTGGATCCACAGGATTTTCACTAAAGGACTTTGAGAAATAGATCACCAGGCCTTTCGCCCTCATCTTAGTCTGGAAGCTCTGGCGAAGCCTGTGTGTCATTGCTTTCGGGTCAGTTGCCACCTGCCAGCAGGTGACGAGTCACACTGCCAACCCAAAGGCTTGTAAAACCCACTGGAGGGTCAGCTGTGGCTTGGTTCCGACTTAACACATAACAATTATTCAGAAGCTGTAAATCACATGGACTGTTCATTCCTCAACAGACTGTGGAAACTACCAAACAGTACCATTCACACCACGTGCAAGTAAAATACTGCTGAAGATCATTGAAAGACAGTGAGGACAGTACACAGATGGGGAACTGCCAGAAGTTCAAACAGGAGATAGAAGACGCCGTGGCGCCAAGGTCATTGCTGATGGCAGATAGATCCTGGCTGAAAGTGAAGAATACCAGAAGAATGTCCATTGTGCTTTATTCACTATGAAAAGGCCTTTGACTGTGGATCATAACAAGTTGTGACTAACATTGAGAAGAATGGGAATCCTATTAAGTGCTCATGTGAAACCTCTGCCTAGACCAGGAGGCTGTTGTGCAAACAGAGCAAGGGAACAGTACACAGTTTTAAATGAAGGAAGTGCGGCACGGTTGTATTCTCTCTCCATGCCTATTCAATCTGTATGCTGAACAAATTATTCTAGAAGCTGGACTCCAAGAAGAACGTGGCATCAAAATCAGAGGGAGACTCATCAATAACCTGCATGATGCAGATGACACAACCTTGCTTGCTGAAAGTGAGGAGGACTTGAAGCACTTGTTGCAGACGCTCAAGGAATATAGCTTTCAATGTAGATTGCATCTCAATGTCAAGAAAACAAGAATTCTTACCACTGGACCTGTAGGCAACATCATGATAGATGGAGAAAAAGATTGAAACTGTTACCACAACAAGATAAAGGTAAATAATCCAGTTGAAAAATGGGCACAGGATATGAATAGACACTTCACCAAAGAAGACATTCAGATGGCCAACAAGCA